AGAATAAAACGACATGGACCTTCTTCTTCTGCGTTCGACATCAGTCATGCTAAACATTGAGTCCCGTCTGGGTCACAAATAGGATTGTGCGTTTAAGGTCGCCACCGGTCCCCATAGCTTCTCTCGCAATGTGGATCCCCTGGGCCAGATCCACAGTCTTTGCTGGGAGAGGTAAGGGCAGTACTGCAGTATGTGCTCAGGGGTCTGTCTTTCTGCTCCACAATCACAGGCAGCAGATTCTTTTATGTCTATCCTGTACAGGTGTGCTCGAAGACCACAGTGTCCAGTCCGAAGTCTAAAAATTGATGTTTGCTTCTTTCCTGTTGAGTTTGTTTATGCTGTCACTCTCTGGTCTGTAATCTCTATTCTGCTTTCTCCACTCCCGCTTGAAAGACTGCTTTAGTGCTGTTTTGGTTTCCTTGTAGCTGTGTGGTGGATGAGGTTGTGGAAGATTACTCCCAGCTTTTGCCAACTCATCTGCTCTCTCATTTCCTTGAATACCACAGTGGGCTGGTATCCACTGCAAGACCAGTTCTGCTTTCTTGGAGAGTAAGCCAATGTTGGTAAATGGACATGAACCGTGTTGCGTGGAGGGAGGATATCAGGAAGGGAATAGGAATAGAGAGAAAATATGATTACAGAAATATTGAGAGCTGTGCGTCTGAGAAGATGCGCACTAAATTTATGGAAGAGTTTAAAATTAAAAAGCACACAGCCATTCTGATGAACAAACAAACAAACAAATCTAAACATAATAAAAGTTTTTTTTTTAAAGGTAGAAAAAACGAGAGTGCATGTCAGTTGGGAGCCATAAACAGCTGAACACATTCTGCAGGCCTGCCCACTCTAAAAAAAAAAGGTACAGTCGGGAGATGTGAACCAGTGTCATCGCACACGGTTATAAACCATAAGCGCTCTGCCACCAGTACGGACAGCTGATAAGAAATTGTCCGCATGTGTCGCCGTCCGCACGTAACTCTGCAGCTACAGCGACGTTTCTCCATTTATTTAAGTGTCAACTCTGGTACCCATTTCCTAGAGGCTGGGTGAACCCCTGGAACCGCCCGGTTTCGAACACCGGCCGTGGGCTGTAGCGAGTCACAGCTGGATTTAAAAGCGAGTCTCCTATCAAGTAACTGCGCTAACGCGGTTCCCTGACAACTACAAAGAGAAAGCTGGCCTCAAGAGCAAAGTGTGCATAGCAATCTATGGGGAACCATACAGGACATGCAACCGCCATGGGAATTCATAGAGGTAACCTGCCTGACGATCTGGCCTGAGCATTCGAAACCTAACGCAAAGAAGAAGAAGAAGAAGAAGAAGAAGAAGAAGAAGAAGAAGAAGAAGAAGCTGTAAACTCACAATGTTCTTTGTAAATATTCAACTCCAAAATTGTCCTGCTGCGTTGCAAATCTATAGATACCATCAAAACTGTCTTCAAATCCCTGGAACTGATTCAGTTCACCCATTTCAAACAAACCAGCCGCCGACATTTTGATGCATATTGCCAGGTGGTCGAAAAAATTATAGTCCAAAATCCAGGCTGCCACGTAACAGTGTGTCTTGCAATGTCAAAACGTATTTACTCACACTTTGTCATCATCATCATTTTCCTCCTCCTCCACATCATCATCATCCCCAATACTGCCACCACCACGACCATCAAATCGTCATCATGGGAGAACGTGTACAGTTCGGAGGAGCAAATTGGAAGAAGGGGGGGGGGGGGGTGTTTGTTCTGAGTGGAGGTTCTGGGCGACCATCAACGCTGAAGAGTGGGTTTGGGGGGGGGGGTATGGGCAAACTTTTAATCAGGGTACACCTGGCACTATCAGCATGGGTCTACGCTTTGGCTACTGAATAAAGAGACGGAGCACGTGTGGGAATGTCCCGAGTGCATTCATGTCTATTCTTGATTTATTCATTCCCCCTGTGGTGCCACTAGACGTCACATTAAGCTCGAGGTTTATTCTTCAATTCCATGCTATCTGATACAAATGTTTCAATACAGTGCCGACCGCTTCAAGGCGATTTCGGGGCAGGGGTGTCGATTCTCAAGTCAACATGGTAAAATAAGATATTGTTTTTTATTTTACTACTGCTACCTTCTGAGTTATATTTAGATATGTGATCTTGCTCATTTCAGATGCTGGGTTCTAATCAGATAGCCTAAATAATTCCTTCTTCTATTTCTCATCCAAACGAAAATCTTTCATGAAAATTGAGGTAATAAACCACGGGTAATCGACTGGATTTCTTACATAATACTGAAAGAATTGCACATGGCGTAACGAAACGAAAGAATCACTGCAAACTCTGTGACGCGTATACGCGAAACAACAGAATTATGATGATGAGGTAGAAGATGAAGATGATGATGATGATGAAGTTAACACAGAGATGGAAAGATTGACATAACATTTTTAAACTGTGACATAAAACAAAAAGAAAGAAAGAAACGAAACTATTGTGGGCCTACTTTTTAAAATGCAGAGCAGTTAAAAATACTGTCTATAATATTTAAAGGAACAATGTAGAATGTAACGAGAACACGAATAGCAGCGTTCTTTTAAAAACTTTATGTTAAAGAACATCATCTTTGATGTGTATTTTTTAAATTGTTTTCACGTTCATTCAGGGACAAATAACGGTATGAGTTATCAATGAAAGAATGATGCTTAAGCTAAGCGAGTAATGATTTTAAATAAATAGAATATAAAAAATCATCTTCGTTACTTTCTCTTTTACTAATACGCTTCGTGTATCGAAGGGAGATATGGTATAAGTTAGTATAATTATTAATATTAAAAGGTTCTTCATTTTGCTCTTCTGGTCGCCTCGACCATAGTAGACACATCGTGCTATTGTAGAGTTTCTCTGATGTTATCTTTAATTTTGTTCTTTGTGTTGTTACCTTGGTCATCATCCTCTTTTGGTGTATAATACTATTATGCCTTATATAATTCATGTATCGTTTGGCATCGAAAGACATGCTCTCGAAGTGGGCAGACTGGTTGCTTTGCTGTCTTTGCATGTAATTTAGAATTGGCTATGTGTTGACTTTTTCTCTTGTAACCATATTCCTGATTTCAACTCATCTGGTCACCCCTGCAGTCATTCTCAGTTATCTTATTTCTTTGTTTAATAATTTTCTTGTCTGGTTTGTGGCCATGTCTGGTTTGTGGCCATGTCTGGTTTGTGGCCATGTCTGGTTTGTGGCCATGTCTGGCACTGTAAGCATAGGGTAGAAAACATCAGTAATTGAAACAAAATGTTGTCTGTTTTGTGTATAACATCATTCTCAGTTTGCCATGGTTGTAAACTCTTAAAACAATTGCTTGAAAGAAGCTAATGAAAGTAGATATCTATATACAACAAGAAGAAAGAGACAAAAACTGTTCTTTGGCCACATAATAAGAAGAGAGACATTGGAGAACATTGTGACAACTGGAAAGATCAGTGGAAAAAGGAATAGAGGCAGATCAAGAGAGATGATGCTGGATGGGCTGAGACGATGGCATGGAAGGATATCATTAAGAGAGCTGTTCCAGGCAACCAGGGATTGTGATCTGTGAAGACGCATGAGCACCTTTGCCAGTTGGCAGGGCACATGATGATGATAAACTCTTATTCTGCAGTTCACCCCTCTCTTGATGGCATCCTCCTACTTGTAATGCAGTCTATTTGTGTGTGTTTGTATATGCGCGCGTGCCTGCCTTTAACCTTTCCTTTCTAAATAAGGTTTAATAAATATGTTTTCTTTTAATGTTGTTGAAGTATTTCACTTGTCTTTTATTTTCAACAACCGTATTTTCCTTCCTTTACTCTTTTCTGGTTGCTGAAGATGAGGATGGATCAATGGTAAAGTGAATATTCAACTTTTTTGTTGTTGCCTTTTTTATTTTAAAGATTCCCCCTTCCCCCCACCCCCCCCCCACCCCCACCCCCCCACCCACCCCCCACCACTCGAGATTTGCATTCTACAGGATTAACATCTGAAGGATGAGAATCAAACAGGTAAAAATCCTGGAAACCCCATTCAACTGTATAGTACATTTATATTGGCGCACCACGAAATGGTTACGTTAACTGTTGTTCAGTGTTAATTTTTTAAATGCTTTATTAATATCCTACCCCCAGATGACGTCACAGGACAACCCAACGTTTTAGAGGGTGGTAAGACTGGGTTTCCTGGCTTTCTGATGCCTTTAACAACCTCAAAACATCTAGAACTGGCCCTAACCCCAACCCACCTACATCCCACGAGAGAGTACAGCCTAGTTCCCACAACTGCATGCAGCCGAGGTCACACGACTGAATGCAGCCTATCTACCACCACCTTAAATATTAGACCGTCCAGTGACCTGTGGATTTCTCCTGTTTGGGGTAGGATATTAATAAAGCGCCATTTTTAAAAAGGGTTTTGTGAAATTTACCCCATCGTTTGCAAGCAGATCTGAAAAAAGTGACTTATTGTTTTGGGCAAGATATCACATTCCAGCTGGAAACTAGAATAAAGCATGCTTTCCTCGTATGGATTCTGGGATCCCATTGTGGGGAAAACAAGAATAGACCCACTGCCTCCTCAACAACCACGTCGTAAGAGTCGACTAATGGGGGGATTTCCTTCAAAGTCAGACTGTATCTGCCTGCGGGGCAAGGAACCAACAGTCTGCATACAAATAAGCAAGGTCTATAAAACGGATGCACATACAAAACTCAAGTCGTGGAACAAAGCAGGGTTTACAGCCGGTTTTCACAAACAAACAACATGCCAAATCTTTCCACTAGGGTTTACATCCGGTTTTCAACAAACAAACAACATGCCAACTCTTTCAGCCGGGGTTTACAGCTAGTTTTTAACAAACATGCCAAACTCCCTTTTAAAGACAAATGAAAAAATCAGTTCAGTTTTTTGCAGTTGTAAATTTTAGACTCTTGTGAATTGTGTTTCTGCCTTATTTTAGGTTTTCCTGACTTTAAAAGCATCCAGATCAAGAATGGCAGGATCTGTCAAAGCTGTTCTTGTTGATCTTAGTGGGACTTTGCATATTGACGATGATCCTACGCCCGGAGCAGTGGAGGCACTCAACAGGTATTGATGTTAGTTGTGTGTGTTGTTTGTCCATCATGAGTGATGAAGACCGCTTTCATCCATAGTAGTAATAATGAATGTGTGTTGTTCTGGTAATCTGGTAATCCTAGTTTCAGCATCATAGCAAACGGGTCACCCCATTGTTGCTCCGCTCCTGTGCCAACGAAAAACACTCGTAGCTCACAGTGTCACACCATGCACTCAACTCAGAAGCTGGGTGACGAAACTATATCCTTCCAGTCTACAAATGGAGCAAAAATGCAACGGCCACCGCCTGGCAGAACTGCCACGGCTTTAAAAAAAAAAAAAAAAAAAAAAGTGGTCGTGCCTAGTGTCCACTGTGACTTGAAGCATTATGTGAGGGGTTAACAAATGGTCACCCCAGCAGTACCCTCACTATTAGCTGGGAAAGGGACTTAGGACATTACATCCACCAGCAGGCGTCGCCCCTACAACGACCTGACTGCCTTCGTTAACGACTGTTCACCCAACAGCCATGCAGTTCTTTGGCACGAAGGAGACACCTTGAACTTGGGTTTCAGAATGCCGACTTCCGTTGTTCATCCATCATGAGTGAGGAAGACTGCTTTCATCCATAGTAGTAATAATTAGTGTGTGTTGTTCGTCCTTCATGAGTGATGAAGACCGCTTTCATCCACAGTAGTAATAATGAATGTGTGTTGTTCGTCCATCATGAGTGATAAAGACTGCTTTCATCCATAGTAGTAATAATTAATGATTATGAGCACGAAGGTGGCTGATTAATCCAGTATGAGGCCGGAAAGTTCTTGAGCAGTGTGGACAACAGGTGGAAGCCACAGTAAGTTTTGGATTAGCAATTTGGTTCTTTCTAGTATGCCTCCGTTTGTTTGCCTGTGCAACCTCCACTGCCTTTCTGTGGAGAAAGATTGAACGGTACAGATTAAAATATAGTGCTGTGAGCTCGATCCATGTGAGTTGAACTTCAGCTACTGAAGAAGTGGGAATGTTCACAGAGTAGTGATATCAGTGTGTAACTAATTAGTTAATTCATTCATCCCCCCTGCGGCTTCCGGGACCCCTCATTATGGGTAAAAACTGCCTCCCCAAGCATGTCATAAGAGCCGACCAATTGGGGGTTTCCTTTAAAGTTGGAGTGCATCTGCCCAAGAGGCAAGAAACTAACAGTCTGCATAAATAAGTCAGATCTGTAAAACTGATGTGCACCTAAGACTCAAGTTCTGGAACAGGTCAAAAGTCCAGAGTTGGTTGAACAACCAGAGCTTTCTGCTGGAGTATACATCTGGATCAGAAAGAGGAAAAACATCGACATTCTGAACGAGTTAAACATCAGGGAGAACTGGCTCATAAACAGCATCCTGTCCTGAAAGTTAAAGTATTTTGGCCACATCAAGCGTCATGGTGTTTGGGAAAAGACAGTGGTGGTAGGTGTAGTTTGTGGAAGGTGAGGCAGAGGTCGACCACTGTGAAGATGGATACAAGACATTAAAAAAGCATAGGCATTGAAAGCACATGGGGCCGGAGAGCTGGCTAGGCAAAGGGATACTTTCAGGCTTGCTGGGAAGAGAGCGACCTTCTGTAAAGGACTTGCTGATTGATAATGATACAGCTGGTGAACGCGAAGAAGAAGAAGAATTCATATCTGTCTTTCATTTATTCATACATTTCATGGTTGATCTGATTTTGTTTAGACTGAAAGCCTTGGAAAATATTCGCATAAAGTTTGTTACCAACACAACAAAAGAAAGCAAAAGATTTCTGATAGCACGACTTCAGAAAATTGGATTCAGTGTTCAAAATGAAGAAGTGTTTTCTTCGTTGTCAGCAGCAAGAAAACTGCTGGATGATCGGCAACTGAGACCTTTCTTTATGATTGATAAGAAAGCTTTGGAGGATTTTGAAGGTATGTTTGAAGAAAATAAAAATAAATAAAAATGTCCTTATAGCAAGTGTGGTTGTCGTGATGTGCAATGCTAGATCTTCTCGTTGAGAATGGTTGCTAGGATTTTAAACTGTTATTATAAAAGATCTCCCTGCTCTTGTCTGGGTTTTACACTACTGTGTCCATCTCATGATGTTGTCTTCTCTCTTGTTTCATTGTCATAAACAGTTCACGACTCACATTCACAAGGTCCTACATGCAGATGACCTGGCCATATGGACTCAAGCTGAACATATAGAAACAACTAAAACAAGAATGCATGAAGCTATGAATACAGTTAAGAAATGGACAGACTCTTGGGGAGTCACAATAAACCAGACCAAAGCCGTCTCAACTCTCTTTTCTCTTTCCACAAAGCCAGAACAAGTTGATCTGTACCTAGAAGGCAACATCCTTCCAAAAGAGGATAACCCCACATATTTGAGAGTAAAATTTGACAAAAGGCTAACCTGGGGCCCCCACATTGAAGACACCTAAAGGAAAGCTTCCCTGAGGCTCAGACTTATAAAGAAACTCACTGGAACAAGCTGGGGTGCAGATGCCAACACTGTATGACAAGTATACACTGGATACGTATGGCCAAAACTGGAGTACGGCATGGGAGCTTACTCTACTGCAGCCAGAACAAACCTACATAAACTGGATAAAATACAGAAAACTGGTCTCAGAATCATCACTGGAGGTATGAGAAGCACACCAATCCATGAGCTGGAGGCAACTTCTGGCCTTTAGAGCTTGAGCGTTTGAAGGGAAGAAAAGATGCTTACCCTAACGGAAAAATTTTAACGCATGAACAACAACCCCATTCTCTGAATAGCAAATAACTAAAAACCAACTGAAAGACAAAGCTTTCACCATCTATCAAAATTGTACTACACAAAAAACAGTGACATCCTTTCTAAAGATGCTTTAACATGAGAAATGAATTATGTTTGGATGTCTTAATTGACATTTAGCATATAAGTGCACTTGCTTTCTGACATCTGGTTTCTATTTATCTGTCAATTCTGTCATCTTTTGTGAACACACTTCCTGGATATTTAAATTTCCTAACTTGATTCAGACCGGAACAATTTAGCTGTATGTGTAGTGGGCCAGGGGTTCAGCTAACTTGCATTGTTTCAGTTTTGTTTGCATTGTTTGTATGTAAAACATAATTATCTTTGGACTATCATCTCTGTAAATTTCAGGCATATCTCAGGAAAATCCCAATGCAGTTGTCATCGGCCTAGCCCCTGAAGAGTTTTATTATGAGAAAATGAATACGGCAATGAGGTAAGCTCACTGCCTCTATTACTAAAGTTATTACGTGAGGCTTTTAAATAGATATTGTCTTACAGGCATTTTCCCTCAGCCAATAAATTTGACACCAGTTATAACGAAACTCTGGGGTACAAAGGGTTCTCAGAAGGGTAGGAACCTATTTTTTGAAAAATAAGTTTAAAGTCTTAGAATTGAAACTGCAGTGTAGAAGAAGAAGCAGAAGAAAAAGAAGGAGGTTTAGGAGTAGAAGATGAAGAAAAAGAAGAAAATGAAGAAGGAGGACGAGTAGAAGATGAAGAAAAAGAAGAAAATGAAGAAGGAGGAGGAGTAGAAGATGAAGAAGAAGAAAAAGAAGGAGGTTAAGGAGTAGAAGATGAAGAAAAAGAAGAAAATGAAGAAGGAGGAGGAGTAGATGAAGAAAATGAAGAAGGAGGAGGAGTAGAAGATGAAGAAGAAGAAAAAGGAGAAGAAAAAGGAGAAGGAGTAGAAGACGAAGAAGAAAAAGGAGGAGTAGAAGACAGAAGAAGAAGAAGGAGGAGGAGAAGAAGAAGAACAACAACAACAACGCTGGCCAAAAGCAGTATTGGCAGCAAAAGAAACAACAGAAAAAGGAGGAGGAAGGGGAGCGAAAGAATAAATGAACAAACTTTATTTTCAAAGGGTCACAAATTGGGCACGCAGGCCCATCTTACATTCAGCCCTTCCCAACACTCATCTTTCACACACCAATTGTATTTTATCATAAAACAATGTGCATACTATGAATATGAAGGATAAAACACAACAGCATGGATGGTAAATGCATGCGCACACGCAGGCCCAGTCACACATTCACTCAATTAAACACATACATACTCACATAATACTCGCACACACACAATATGTATATGCATGCATACATACATACATACTTACATACATACAGAAGGGCAGACAGGCTGGCAGGCTGCATACACACACACACAAGCATAATATATACACATACATAGATACAGACAGGTTGAAGCAGAAGGATGAAGTATATTACAAGAAGAAGCAAAAAAGTAGACTTTCAGAAGGAGAAGAGTTTAAGAAGGAAAAGACAAAGGATAGAGATTTTAGGAAAGGCAGTGTAGAGTTAAATAAAAAAGGAGAGGAGTTTAAGAAGTAGATTACATATTAAATAAAGAAAAAAAGACTACGAAGAAGAACAGCTGCAACTGCAGCGGAATACACTGAAGCAAGTATAAGAAGAGGAGGAGGAGGTGGGGGGGGGGGGGGGGTATAGACCAGGGTAATTGTTGTGGTTATTGTTGTCCAAATATTTCTGTTTTAATCACAAATTCAGGCTACTCCGGGGTGGCGCATCTCTGATTGCTATTCACAAGGCCAAGTATTATAAGAGAAATGATGGACTCGCCTTGGGACCAGGTGAGAGGTCATTCAACTTTGAAAATAAGATGTAAGGTAGATTAGACGCTGAAAGAGCCCATATCATCTAGTGGGTTTTAGCGCCACATTTTATATTAGTAATAGTAGTAATAGTAATAATAGTAGAATAGTAGCCGTAGCAGCAGCAGTAGTAGTACCAATAGCAGCAGCAGCCATAGTTTCAGTAGTAGTAGCAGCAACAGCACAGGCTGTTGTAGAAGAAGAAGAAGAAGAAGAAGAAGAAGAAGAAGAAGAAGAAGAAGAAGAAGAAGAAGAAGAAGAAGAAGAAGAAGAAGAAGAAGAAGAAGAAGAAGAAGAAGAAGAAGAAGAAGAAGAAGAAGATGATGAAGAAGAAGAAGAAGAAGAAAAAGAAAAAGAAGAAGATGAAAAAAAAAGAAGAAGATGAAGAAGAAAAAGAAGAAGATGAAGAAGAAAAAGAAGAAGATGAAGAAGAACAAGAAGAAGAAGAAGATAAAGAAGAAAAGAAGAAGAAGACAGAGAGAAGAAGTTGAAGTTAACTTTGAGAGTGTGAATCCTCAGTTGAAGTTAACTTTGAGAGTGTAAATCCTTAGTTGAAGTTAACTTTGAGAGTGTGAATCCTCAGTTGAAGTTAACTTTGAGAGTGTGAATCCTCAGTTGAAGTTAACTTTGAGAGTGTGAATCCTCAGTTGAAGTTAACTTTGAGAGTGTGAATCCTCAGTTGAAGTTAACTTTGAGAGTGTGAATCCTCAGTTGAAGTTAACTTTGAGAGTGTGAATTCTCAGTTGAAGTTAACTTTGAGAGTGTGAATCCTCAGTTGAAGTTAACTTTGAGAGTGTGAATCCTCAGTTGAAGTTAACTTTGAGAGTGTGAATCCTCAGTTGAAGTTAACTTTGAGAGTGTGAATCCTCAATTGAAGTTAACTTTGAGAGTGTGAATCCTCAGTTGAAGTTAACTTTGAGAGTGTGAATCCTCAGTTGAAGTTAACTTTGAGAGTGTGAATCCTCAGTAAGATGATTTTTTTTTTAAATGTTTGCTCCAAAAATGAACTCCTAATCTACACAGTCCAAGGGGACTGCATCAGCAATGCTGCCCTACATCCTCGGGCTCAAAGACCCCTTGGCGACACCGCAATCATTGTAAATACAGGCAGCTAAGGTTAGTTGCGTATCCTTTACAGAAAGGACGTTGTAGAACCAACCCCAACAGCCCCTGGCCGTTGTGTGGTTTTTCTAGGCATATTTACATCCAGTAGTTTGCCATTGATTTCTAGACGGTCGGCTTTCTTAATACCACTGTCGAAATCAACGCAAGGTGCATGGCCCGCAGCTGGGATCGAACCCGACATCTCGGCATTAGGAAGCATTCGCATTGACTTAGCTACAGAGCCGACAATACAGACAGAAGTGGAGAGTAAATCACTCTCAGTAAAGATCACAAAACGAGTAAAGAAATGTTATATTGAGCCTGTTCTGTTGTATGGCAGTGAATCTTTGAGTGTGAGCAAAGAAATTAAGAAGAGTTTGGAGGCAACTGAGATGTGGTTCTTGAAAAGAATGTGGTGAAAACCTTGTACTGCAGAATAACTAACACTGATTGCCTGGAACAAAGTAAAACATTATAAACAAAAATGAGGAATAGACAAAGTTCTTTGGTCATGTGATGAGAAAAGAAGGGCTGGAAAATATCGTGACGACTGGAAAGGTCACTGGTAGAAGAGGCAGAGGCAGACCACGAGAAATGATGGTGGATGGCTTAAGACATTGGCATGGAGGAATATCATCAGCGGAATTGATCCACAACACCAAATACCGAGATCCGTAGAGATGCATGAATGCCTACGCCAGCTGGCAAGGCACTTGATAATGTTCAATGGACAGTTGCTTTTTATTTTGCAGGTAACTTTCTTTAAATTGATGATGATGACAATGAATGATGTTTAGTTTTGTCTCACATTGCTAATATCTTTGGTTATTTTATTTTCCAGGTCCTTTTGTAGCAGCTCTAGAGTATGCTACTGACTGTAAGGCAGAAGTTGTGGGGAAGCCCTCGGAGAGTTTCTTTGTGTCTTCCATTGCTTCCCTGGGTTGTGTCCCCTCTGAGTGTATCATGGTTGGAGATGTGAGTATCGATGTTGAATATTTCTACTGTCTTCTTCTCTTCAGGTGCTTGCCTTCTGATCTGAACGTCATGGGTTCAGATCTCCAAAATGCTCTGTCTTTTCCTCTGGATGTAGACTGTCTCAAACTGCTGTGTGTCCAATGCCTGGTGTTATCCTCCTACTTGTATCGCTGACTTCTTTTTGCTTGTTTGCCTTCAACCTTTCCTTCCATCCTGATCTGTATTATGGTTTTCATAAGATTGTTATGTCTTTTAATATGGCTAAATACCTCATGTCTTATTTTTCAGTTTCTGTGTCTTCAGCTTGGCTCAGATAAAATTTTTTTAACTTTGATATTTCCATTGAAATTCAGTTGAGGCAATTCTCCAACTCATTAAAAAAATGTTTTCTGTTCTGTTGAACAAGATAGGTACCAGAACACATTCTTGCTGAAGTTCTCTTTTTATATGTTTGAACCTGGAGAGAACGCTAATGGAAGGTACAGTTTCTGGAAAATGAGACGGAGGCAGACCTCCGCAAATGTGGATACAAAAAAATTAAAGATGCAATGTCTATGAAAGCACACAGGGCTGGGGATATTGGTTAGAGAAAGTGATAATTTCAGGCGTGCCGTGACGAGAGCAACATTCTTTTAAAGGTCCTGCTAAAGAGTTGAGTTAAGTCAAGAATTGACATCACAGCACTCAGGGCATTACCACGCATGCTCTGTCCTCATCTTCAGCAGCCAGTGCAGAGTTAAAGTACTGATGGTACCGGTCACAATCTGGTTATATGTTCATCTTGCCTTTTCTCTGAGTGTAGTGAGCCGGCCAGACCCTCTGGTTACACCCAGGTGTCTCATCCTCTCCAGACCCTGCTAATGAATGATGATGCTGAGATGAGTAGATGTTGTTCTGTCAGAATGTTGCTTCTTGATCCCAGCGTATGATGATTTTACTTCTGTTGATTTGTTTTGTATTGCAGGATGTGAATGATGATATTGCAGGAGCACAAGCTGCAGGGATGAGAGGAATCCTTGTTCGAACTGGTGAGTTGTATTTCTAACAACTTTTTTATTCAGAGCCGTTTCTCCAATGTGAATGTAAATACTGAGGGCTTGCGCAATAAATTGCAACATTTTTTGCTTTACCTCCCCACATGGATTTTGCGGCCTCATGGGTTGGGGGGGGGGGGGGGGGGGGGGGGGGGGAATAGACCCTTAACACACACACACACACGCAGAGAGAGAGAGAGAAAGAGAGAGTTAGTTGCGTATCCCTTATAGGGCATTGCAGAATCAATCCCAGTATTTTGTAGTTTGCCATTGCTTTCTCAACGACTGGCTCTGGATACCACTGTTGGAACCAATGCAATACAAACCATCCGCAGCTAGAATCGAACCTGGTGCCCCGGCATTACGAAGCTCGTTCGCAGCGCCTAAGCCACAGACACCGACATGAAGCATGTCCTAAAAGCCAACTAATTGAGGGTGTTTACTTTGAAATTAGTCGCCAGTTGTTAACAGTAGAGATAGATTAGTCAATCCTTCTTCTCCCTACTTTCTTTCTGTGGGTAGATACCAAACCTCAGCACAACAAGAGGCTCTGGGGATGGAAATAGACCCTGTGCCCCTAACACACACAGAAAGAAGTTAGCTGAGCATCTTTTATAGGACATTGCAGAACCAACCTCAGCATTTTTTGTTTGTTTAAGCTGTTGGTTTTTTTAAAGGCAAATTTAATGTTCAGTAGTTTGCCATTGCTCTTTGAATGATCGGCTCTCGGTACTACTGTTGAAACTAACGCAAGACAAACCATCTAGGATCGAACCTGGTGCCCCGGCATTAACGAAGCTTGTTCGCAATGCCTAAGCCACAGACACCAACATCAAGCATGTCATAAAAGCAGACTAATTAAGGGTGTTTACTTTAAAGTCGGTCGCCAGCTGTAAACAGTTTAGATAGATAAGTCAATCCTTCTTCTCCTTACTTCTTTCTGTGGGTAGATACCAAGCACCAGCACAACAATATAACAACGATTCATGTAGGTATAGGGTCTGGGATATGCAGGAGTGCTGGGGAATGAAAAAGCAGAGTTTTTGGCTACAGAAGTGATAGTTACAGGAACACTCATGCTGGACAAAAGAAGACAATCGATAAACATATGCTGGTAAAAAATACGAGGTTATGTTGAATTAGGAATCAACATCACATCACTCGGAACACTCCCATACAATGTTGAATTGAGTCAAAAATTGACATCACAGCACTCAGGGCATTCCCATATGTGCTCTATCCCTATTCTCAGCAGCCAGCGCAGTTACTAATGGTTCCAGTTGTAGTCTGGTTGTATGTCCCTCTTGCCTTTCCTCTGAGTGTAGTGTGCTGGCCAAACCCTCTGGTCATACCAAGGTGCATCATTCTCTCCAGCCCATAATAACCTAGTTTCTCTTCAGACTTCGTTACTTGTTCCCAAAGGGCTCTGACCACATCTTCCATGTCATGTATCAATTCATCACCCAGCGATGCAGATCCCACCAATCTGTCTGCCTGTTCATTCCCCACCACGCTGGCATACGAGGTTAAATGAAATAAAAGGTGTAAGAAAGTGTAAGAGAATGGAACCGGTAAGGAGGGACATATGCGAGGAAGAAAACAATGTGGGTACAATCAGTGTGTTATGGGAAAAATTCCCTAATTCTCTAAACGGTTTTAGTAGTGCTTATGTTATCATCTCCCCAGGCAAATACCGAGATGGAGATGAGAATAAGATCAGCCCACCTCCCTTTAGAGTTGCAGACAATTTCTCTCAAGCTGTTGATGTTATCAAAGAGTTATTATAATTATAATAATAATACAAAATTGTTAGTTATGTTTCCTTTACAGGGCCTCACAGAATAAACCCCAGCTTTACTTTTTAAGGCTGTTTTGTGAGCAATTTTACGTTCTGTAATTTGCCGGGACCTTTTCATGTTTCCAGACCCAGGATGAGAGTGACTTCCCTTGCCATTCATTCCTCTTCAGGTCGTTGGAACTCTCCTGTATTGTGGGGGTGTTATGAAATGGCTTGGTTTGGCATTCGCCATGCCTGTGTAATGTTTGTGGGAGGTTGTGTTATTGTGAGTCTTTTGCGAGGGCCGCACGGCAAGGGATATCACTCTTATCCTATACTGGAAACATGAACTGGACCACTTGCCGTCTCGATACCATTGTCGAAACTAGTACAAGGCAGTCTGCTGCTATGTTGCCTGCACCTGAGATCTAACCTAGCATCTTGGAATGATAAATAATAATAGTAATATGTTTGGACAAAAATCTGATGCTGTGCTGAATCATGGGTCTCTGTTCATCAACATCATTAATCAGCGGTTGCTTTTCAGAGCGTTGCTCTTGTCGCAGCATGCCTCTCTTGTCACGTCACTCCTATCTTGTCACAGCATGCCTTTCTTGTCACGGCACTCCTCTCTTGTCACAGCATGCCTCTCTTGTCATGGCAGGCCTCTCTTGTCACGGCAGGCCTCTCTTGTCACAGCAGGCCTCTCTTGTCACAGCATGCCTCTCTTGTCACGGCAGGCCTCTCTTGTCACGGCACTCTTCTCTTGTCACATCATGCCTCTCTTTTCACGTCTCTGCTATTTTGTCACAGCATGCCTTTCTTGTCATGGCACTCCTCTCTTGTCACAGCATGCATCTCTTGTCACGGCACTCTTCTCTTGTCACAGTATGCCTCTCTTGTCCCAGCACACCTCTCTTATCACAGCAGGCCTCTCTTGTCACGGCATGCCTGTCTTGTCATGGGAGGCCTCTCTTGTCACAGCATGCCTCTCTTATCACAGCAGGCCTCTCTTGTCAAGGCAGTCTCCTCTTTTCAAGCCAGTTCTTCAGTCTATATGCTTTCATAGCCAGTGCATCTTCAGTGTCTCTAGTCCACATTGATGGAGGTCTGCCTCTGCCTCGTTTTCTGGGAACTATACCCTCCATCACTGTCCTCTTCAGACCACCATGATGTTTAGCATGGCCATGAGACCTCAGCTTTTGATGCAGGATGCTGTTTATGAGCCAATTCTCCTCAATGCTCAGATCATATGGGATTATGGTTTTCCTTTTCTTGGTCCATGGAATTCTAAAAATGTTCTATGGCTATAGCGTTCTGATGAATGTGTTTTGTTTCGTAAATATGGGACATGAAGGTAACCACATAGCAGAGACTGTCATTGTGTTAGTGTTAGGCCCTTACATAATCTAGGTCAGAGGCTCACAGCCTCTTGGGTCTTGGGTCACCAAGTTACAGTTCGTTTATTTAGTCTTTTCATGTCTGGCCATCAAATCTTTTAGACTTTTTGTTTTCATGTCTACGGCCCGTCCAGTCAGCCACATTTGGACTTCCTGTTTTCATGTCTACGGCCTGTCAGTCAGCCACATTTGGACTTTCTGTTTTTATGTCTATGACCTGTCCAGTCATCCACATTTGGACTTTCTGTTTTCAAGTCTGCGGCCTGTCCAGTCAGCCACATTTGGACTTTCTGTTTTTATGTCTATGGCCTGTCCCGTCATCCACATTTGGACTTTCTGTTTTCATGTCTACGGCCTGTCCAGTCATCCACATTTGGACTTTCTGTTTTCATGTCTACGGCCTATCCAGTCATCCACATTTGGATTTTCTGTTTTCATGTCTACGGCCCGTCAGTCATCCACATTTGGACTTTCTGTTTTTATGTCTATGGCCTGTCCAGTCATCCACATTTGGACTTTCTGTTTTCATGTCTGCGGCCTGTCCAGTCAGCCACATTTGGACTTTCTGTTTTTATGTCTATGGCCTGTCCAGTCAGCCATATTTGGACTTTCTGTTTTCATATCTACGGCCTGTCCAGTCAGCCACATTTGGACTTTCTGTTTTTATGTCTATGGCCTGTCTAGTCATCCACATTTGGACTTTCTGTTTTCATGTCTACGGCCTGTTCAGTCAGCCACATTTGGACTTTCTGTTTTTATGTCTATGGCCTGTCCAGTCATCCACATTTGGACTTTCTATTTTCATGTCTGCGGCCTGTCCAGTCAGCCACATTTGGACTTTCTGTTTTCATGTCTATGGCCTGTCCAGTCAGCCACATTTGGACTTTCTGTTTTTATGTCTATGGCCTGTCCAGTCATCCACATTTGGACTTTCTGTTTTCATGTCTACGGCCTATCCAGTCATCCACATTTGGACTTTCTGTTTTCATGTCTACGGCCCGTCTAGTCAGCCACATTTGGACTTTCTGTTTTTATGTCTATGTCCTGTCCAGTCAGCCATATTTGGACTTTCTGTTTTTATGTCTATGGCCTGTCCAGTTAGCCACATTTGGACTTTCTGTTTTCATGTCTATGGCCTGTCCAGTCAGCCACATTTGGACTTTCTGTTTTCATGTCTACGGTCTGTCCAGTCAGCCACATTTGGACTTTCTGTTTTCTTGTCTACGGCCTGTCCAGTCAGCCACATTTGGACTTCTGTTTTTATGTCTATGGTCCATCCAGTCAGCCATATTTGGACTTTCTGTTGTCATGTCTATGGTCTGTCCAGTCAGCCACATTTGGACTTTCTGTTTTTATGTCTATGGCCCGTCCAGTCAGCCATATTTGGACTTTCTGTTTTCATGTCTACGGCCTGTCCAGTCACCCACATTTGGACTTTCTGTTTTCATGTCTACGGCCTGTCCAGTCAGCCACATTTGGACTTTCTGTTTTCATGTCAACGGCTCCATAGAGCCCGGAGGGATCCACGTGTACTTTCCAGGGGTCTCCTGGCAGCTCCAGGTCAATAAATAGAAATGGAATAAAATTAAAGAATGACTAAAAGACCAAAAGTAAAAATCAAAATAAGAAAACTAGAACTTAACCTCATCTACTTGGTCATTCTGCTGCCACAAGAACCAAAATTATTGTAATTTGAGATGGAAGATAATACGAGGAACAATAGGGGCTTATTATTTTTCAACATCTTAAGAAAAGGGGCTTGATGATTTTCAATTGATATTGAATGTGTTCAGTGTAAACAAAAAACAAACAAACAAAAAAAGCACCCATTTTAATCTTAGTGGAATACAAGGTCCTATAGATTAGATATGTCACAGCGAATTAAAATCGTGTTTCAAAACCAAATTCTACCAGAGGTTTCCCGGCATTTACAAATAAATTTTTCCTCTTCTTTTTTTGTGTGTGTGGTTTGTTCACTGGCTGTAATCTCCAGCAGAAAGTCCTGTTGTTTGTCCATTTCGACTTTGGCTTTGTTTAAGGGCCTGAGTTTTTGCATGTACATCCGTTTTACTGGATTATTTGTGTGTAGTTGGTTGTTCCATGCCGCTTGGACAGATGGACTATGACTTCGAAGGAAGCCCCCAATTAGTTGACTCTTATAATATGCTTTTTTAGGTAGGCAGTGGGTCTGTTCTTATTTTCCCTACAGTGGGCCCCAGGAACCCATACAGGGACCAAATGAATTTAAAATCTTGTCTCAGAAAGCAAACTGAATATTGCTGTCATTCTTAACTCTTTGAGTCCGAAGGAATGCTTCATACGTTCATAGGTTCCTACCTAGAAGCCCAATGAACACATGGTGTGCTGATTTTATAACTCTATCCACTACCTTCTGGGCCTGTGATGATAAACCCCCTGGGACTCAAAGAGTTAACAACATATCTCGGTGAACTGGGATTCTTCACATATACAGCTACCGAAACGAGATACAGAAGCCGCGTATACCCGTGTGGGTTCCAGGGCCCTATTATAGGGAAAACAAGAATAGACCCACTGCCCACTCAAAAGCATGTTATAAGAGTCGACTGATTGGGTGCTTCTTTCGAAGTTGTAGTGCATTTGCTGAAGAGGCAAGGAACCAGCAGTCTGCATGCCAATAAGTTAGATCTGTAAAACGGATGCACACACAACACTCAGGTTCTGGAACAGGACCGCAGTCGAGAAGTGGACGAACAACCAGAACTTTCGGCCGGAGTTTACAGCTGGTGAAGGCGAATAAGAATAAGAAGAATAAGAAGAAGAAGAAGAAGAAAAAGAAGAAGAAGAAGAAGAAGAAGAAGAAGAAAAAGAAGAAGAAGAAGAAGAAGAAGAAGAAGAAGAAGAAGAAGAAGAAGAAGAAGAAGAAGAAGAAGAAGAAGAAGAAGAAGAAGAAGAAGAAGAAGAAGAAGCGGCTTAAATTCAGAACCAAACAGTTGCCTGTATTTATCATTATTTGAACCTGAGATAAGCAAACTGCTATAAAAATTAAACCACAATTTCTTTTTAAACATTTGTACATTATTTTTCTGGACCTTAGTGTTGCTGTCACTAGTATTGTAAAATCTGTCGTAACATCAACATCATCATGTGCCCTGCTAACTGGCGTAGGCGCTGACGCGTCTCCACAGATCACGATCCCTGGTTCACTGGAACAGCTCTCTTGATGATATCCCTCCATGCCATCGTTTCAACCCATTCAGCATCATCTCTCTTGGTCTACCCCTACCCCATTTTCCACTGATCTTTCCAGTTGTCATGATGTTCTTCAATGTCTCTCTTCTCATTACGTGGCCAAAGAACAGTGTTTGTCTCTTTCTTATTGTTGTTGTAACATACATGGTTTGATTTGTTGAACTTTGGAAGAGCTTTTATGCATGGCTACGTTTTGATAAAAGCAGATGTATTGTGGGAGTTGAGAATCAATGGATTATTATGATTGATTTCTGGTCAAGATGGCAAGGCAGGGGGATGTTTATTTTTCCGCCACCATCTACCCAGGGTGAATTTTAGACATCCTAGAGTGGAAATTGTGGGAAACTAGTCTGAATATGAAAGTCTAGTTTGGGTGTGA